TGACCTTTCGCAGCAGGGCCCTGGGGCTTTTGAGTGGTTCGGTCATCGTCAGTACCACCTTCCCAATCAAGGGAGGTATTGGACTAGTCCTTAGCGATGAGAGTCACGGGAACGCATGCGTTCAGTCTTTGAGTCGCATGCAGGGTTATACAGCCAAGGTCCGCACTGGATTATGGCCACGTGTGATTTTGTTTAATCCCGCAATAGCCCGTGGTTCCACTATCGACTCAGTGAGTCGCTCTATCAAAGAGGGCAATCCTGCTCTCACCGAAGGTATCGACGGTGACAAGCTGGTCAGCGCGGTCTATTGGCGCGGCCAGCACTTAGTTATGGCGATCTGCCCAACCCTCTACCACAGGCTATCTGCCAATGGGGAAGGGAAGGGTCGCCTGGTATTAAATCACCTTTGCACCAGATGGGCGACATCTCGCTCCCCATCAGTGTGTTTTAGGTGTTGTGGTATTGGCCATATTGGCCCTTCCTGTCCTCATAAGCAGGATCAGGCCAAGATTCGCTGCACGCGTTGTGCAGCCTTCGGTCACGAGAGACAAGCTTGTACGGCTCAGTCCATCACAGGGCCGGTGCTGAAATGCGCTAACTGCCTGGACTTCAACGCATCTCATCCTGAAGCTCGAGTTCACCGAAAGGTGGACCACGAGTGCACGGATGGTGCATGTGAGAGCTTAGCCGCCTTTGCTAGGCGGCAATGGGGCCGTACTGACTTCGGAAATGCTGCCTTTTGTCAATGATAAGGATTCTACAGCATAATGAAGGTCATCGGCTGCTGGCGTTGAATTTACTTCTGCCACGGCTGCATAGCACTCTCGTAGACATGGTCTGCCTCCAGGAACCCTGTTCCGCTTCCCGTAAGCTCGTTGGCTACCAATACCACGGCTTACGTAAGAACGAGGAGGCTTGTATATTGTCCAAGCGTGGCATCCCCTGCCACACGGTTTTTGCTTCCCGTGACCTTGTCGTGGTCAAGGGAAACAACTATGGTATAGCGTCATGGTACTTTCACGGCACGGATATGCCTAGGAGGGAACTGGCGCTCTCTGAGCTTGACCAGGTCCTTTCCACGTGGCCTGTGTCCGTCCCGCTCTACATCTGTGTCGATGCTAATGCTTGGCACATAGCTTGGGGCTCAGAGCTAACTGCTAGCAACCTGCGTAGGCAGGCCTGGCAGCGTGGTGAGTCACTCGTAGATTGGTGCCTGGAGAAAGGCGTTCGGATTCTGAATGATGACGAATCCTTACCAACCTTTGTATCCGAGCGGTATCACTCCTGGATTGATCTCACCCTACTGTACGGTACTCCCAGAGACGGCATCTCGCCCCGATGGGAGCTAGTGGACGACCTTTGAGGGTCAGACCACAGGTTACTCTACACAGAGG